ACAGCTTGGTCCCAGGCTTGGTCTGTTACCTTGGATAATAAGGAATACACCATGTTGTATTCTATAGGTACTTACTGGCACATGTTAATGGCACTGTCAATGTTTCCATCCTCAGAAGCCCGAACGGCCAGGTGACCCCTCAGCTCATCCGAAGACACCCCCAACAGTTTGGCAAGCCTGAATATGAAATATTAAAAACACTAAATGAAGGATGGAGCTTTATGATTTAACAAAAGTTTGCAGGACCATACATCATCATCATCATCATTCATCCTCTGTAGTAGAGGTGGAGCATACGAAGTTAGCTCGCCACAACTGTCTGTCATACATTACTGAGATAAGTTCATGTCCCTCCAAGCCAGTTTCAGTTTCAATAAGTTTCTTAATAAGTGTTATGTTTGGGCGTCCAACTCTTCTCTTACCGGTATCAGGGTTCCAGAGTAGAAGCTACTGGCTCAGGTTCTTCACTACGTACTACATGACCGGCCAAGCTTAGTCGTCGACATTTGACTACTGAAGTTACATTTGGTAGCGAACCGTATAACTGTTCATTAGTAGTGTGTTTCCACCATGGTGTATTGAAAACCACTCGCAACATCTTCGTGTATGTTCCGTTTAGTTTTCTAGAATGTGACGTATTACTCGAGTGTCTATTTGCAAGCAACAACTCTTTACACTATAATGTAGTCATGTAGATCATAGGAGGTCATGTAGGTTGTCTTGTTCAAAGACTGACGTGTTGTTCACACAGACGTTTGATGTATACTGTGGTCATGTTTAATCCAAAGAACCCAGCAGGAGATATTATGATCATCATCATCATCATCAGTCGACCCCCCTAGGGGACGGGGTTTGCCGCTGCACCACTCCTGCCCACATCTCCCGGTCTGCCATGGCTGACTTTAAGTCCTCAATGTCGTACCCAGTGTCTCGTGAGAGAACACTGGGGTAGGTCAGTTTTCTGCAGTGTGTTTTCCCCCTGGGCCTCCACAGGATAAGTGAGGAGATGACCTCCTGATCCGCCCGATAGCAATGACCAGCAAACTGAAGTCGTCTTTGGCTGAGTTTTTGGGACACTTTGGGGAGATTTCCATAGATGTTGGTCAATGTTGGATGTTGTTTCCAGCTGAGGTTTTTAGCTCTGCGTAGCAGATTGGTGTAAGTACCGTCGAGTCGTTTTTCTAGGCGTGTAGTTAATGTCCAAGTTTCAGCACCATGTAGCAGAATGGGTTCTATAATTGTGCGAAATACTTGTACCTTCAGGTCAGTACTTATGCTAGACCGCCATATATTATCAAGTTTGTTGCACGCATCCCAAGCTAGAGCTTTCCTTACTGTAAAGTCCCTTTCGGTGTCCATAATGTAAGAACCAAGATACTTAAAATCAACAACTTGTTTTATACATATTCCAGACAAAGACTTTAGTTCCACAGGTGCAGGGGTAATACTTGTACTTATAAACTCTGTCTTAGATTCGTTGCAATACAGACCGACTTGTGCAGCTGCTTTCTCAAGGGACTGTAGAAGAGTTTCTGCATCCTTGATTAGCTGTGTTACTAGAGCTAAATCATCTGCAAAGTCCAGATCGGTGAGGTTCACAGCTGGGTAACGTCGACTTCTCCTAGGCTGTATTTCTATACCTTTCTCTTGCATGGTATCAAGGGATAATCGTAGAATATAATCAAGTACAATAATAGAAAAGAACGGTGCTAGTGTATCTCCCTGAAGGACGCCAGCAGTCACTTCAAAGGGACTTGTTTCACCATCAGGGGTGATAACTGTAGCAGTGGTGTCGATATATAAAGACTTGATCGCGTTGATGAAGGGTAAAGGTATTCCATACAGGGGGAGAATTTCGAACATGGTGTTTCTGTCTATAGAATCAAACGCTTTGCGGAAGTCGACGAATAGCAGTACTAGATCTCTGTTGCATCTTCTCATCTCTTCTAGGATACGGCGAATTGAGAGGATTTGAGAAATGGTTGACCTACCTCTTCTGAAGCCGTTCTGGTTTTTCCTCAAGAGTGGGTCAACTGCTGGTACTAGTCGGTTTAACAAAAGTTTGTTATAAATTTTAGCAGCAATGGGGATTAAGGTAATTCCACGGTAATTTGCGACAGAGGTAAGGTCTCCTTTTTTGGGCACTGGTATAATTCCACCCTTGAGCCATGCAGAAGGGGGTTTATGAGTAAGGAACGTAGTGTTGCACAAATGGAGAAGTAATTCGTGAAATAGTGGGTCCTTCCATATAATAGTTGGGATATTATCTAGACCTGGGGTTTTGTTGTTCGAGAAGGAATTTAGTGCAGTTTTGAGTTCATCGAGTGTAAAGAGGTCGGTCGAGATGTTGAGTTCTTCTGACACCTGTATCCTCCTAAGAGGTTCACTGCGGGGAACCTTTGGTGGTTCGCCAAGTAAAGATTTAAAGTGGTTTAGCCAGTTTGCCTTCCTGTTTTCTTGGGATCCACCCTTTATTTTGCTTGAGGGCTTTGGTTTCCGACCACTGAGCTCATTTATAGTTAACCAGGCTGCTTCGTACTGTCGAGTTGCATGCAGGTGAGTAATGTTGTCTATTTTACCTTGGATGAACTCAGCTTGAGCAGTAGCGTAGGCTTCATCAAGTTGTCTTTGTGTTTTGTTAATGTTTTTGAGGGTGTGTCTTGTTGGTCTTTTCTCTATGTAGTACCAACAGCCTTGTTCACCTTCTTGCGTGCATCTGAGACGAGTTTGTTTGAGCTGATAGGTGTATTTTACCCTTTTTCTCTTAGGTAGGGTAGAGAGGGACACCTCTTCAGTGGACTCAACAAGATTGTTGTAGGTTGTTTCAATGGCATCTGAGGTTTCAGAAAGTGCTTCAAAGCGATTTTTCACTGCCAAAGTAAATTCATCTCTTAAGGTGTGATCAGAGGTGACCAGTTTCCAGTCA